GAAGGAGATTTCATGAGGAGTTGGGTACTCGTCTGCATTTCAACACGACTTTCCACCCGTAGATAGATGGTTAGAGTGTGTGAACTATCCAGATATTGGAGGATATGTTGCAGGCTTGTGTGCTGGATTTGGTGAGAGTTGGGTACGTAACTTCCTTTGGCGGGATTTTTGTAGAACACCAGTTATCATGCTAGTATTGATCGACCTTCTTTTGAAATGCTCTACGGGAGGAAGTGCAGAACCCTGATATGTTGGGGCGAAGTCGGTTAGCAGGTTGGGGAGTATGGAGGTGGTACTCAAGATGATAGGATCGATCCAGTCGGTCTGTGGCAGACTTTAGATAACACATAGCCGATAAAAGAGTTATGAAAATAGACACCGGTTAGACTTAGAGTTCCAAGTTAGGGACATAGTACTCTTGAAGGTGTCACCTTGGAAATGTGACATCCGATTCAGGAAGCAGGGCAAGCTTGGCCCCATGTATATTGGTCATTTTAGGGTTTTAGCTCGGGTGGGAAGGGTTACATATCTTTAGGATCTACTCAAGGAGCCCACTCAGATTCATAGCACTTTTCATGTCTCTCAACTACGGAATTGTTTGGTTAATGATTCCGCAGTGGTTCCATTGGAGGATATTCAGGTGGATGAACATCTGAATTATATAGAGAGATTGGTGACGATCCTTAATAAGAGGACGAAGACTCTGGGAAACAAGGTTGTGGATCTCATTAAGGTGCAGTGGTAGCACCGTAAGGGTTCAGGATAGACATGGGAATCAAAGGGAATAGATTAGAGAGCATTACCTCGGGTTGTTTGAGGTGGTGGACTTCAAGGATGAAGTCTAATTCAAGTGGGGGAGAGTTGTAATGCCCGGATCTTGAGGTACTTTATTTGTAATTATTTTTTCATTTTGAGGATTCCCACGATGTGGTGGAGAGAGCACCACGACATGGCGAGGCGAGAAGGGTTCACATATTTTATTTAAGCCACCACGGCGTGGAAGTATTAGCCACTAGGGTTTGCTCATCTTCAACCTCCATCAAACCCCTCAATCCCTAAAGAAAACCCTAATCATTTTCCTCCATTATTAAGCTAGTTTTGGTGTTCCTTGAAGCTAAAGAAGGAAGAACGAGGAAGAAGGAAGCAAAGATCAAGCAAGCAAGTCACCATTCTTCACCTTAGCACTCTTTTGGACATTTATAAGTGTCCAAGACTCGATTTTTATCATGCTAGGTTGCTAGATCTCGAGTTTTGTCTCATAAACTTCTTGTTTTTGTTGGTTGGGATGGTCAGATCTCTTAAAGTTTGCAACTTTATGAATCTCTGGGGCATTTGGTGAAGTATGTGCCTTAGATCTGGAGTTTGGTTGGGTTTTCAATCAATGCATGAGATTTAGGTCATAAACCCTCATTTTAACCTAATATGGGTTCAAGACATGCATGTCTATAAAGCACAAAGTTTTAGGTTAGTTATGGTGCTAGAATCACTTTTGGAAATGATGGAGTTCATACTATATAGAATAAGTGCTTGTTGGTTAAGTTCTTGCATTGTTAAGCCTTTTTGGGGCTTAGGGATTTGGGTTTTTCACCTTTTGGGTGGTCCTAATAGATAGAGTTAAAATTTATCCTTCTAGATCACATTTTGGACCAGATATGAGCTTTAGAGCTATTGGAATAGAAGAAAACAACTTAATACATGAATATGTTGGAGCCTCGGCTACCATGGCGTGACGAATGGGAAATTCCCAACTGTTTGGTCGTATGTGGGGCACGATGTGGCCAAGGAAGACCACGTCGTGACGGTCAGCTAGAGTCAACACTGACTATTGACTTTGACCGTTGACCTTGAGGTTTGACTTTTGATTTGTGGATTTTTGTTCAACAGTTAATTTCCTAATATGTAAATTATGGTCTTTCTTTGTGTGTTTATCTATGTGGCGTTTAGCTCCCGTTGTGGGTTTTTTTTTTTGGGTTGGGGGGGGGGGGGGGGACACTAGGTGTCATTATACACTTGTTGTCTGTGTGACTCTTACATATGCTTGCATCTTATGAATATCGGGCGGGGACCGAAGGATACAAAATGAGGTCTGATGTATCCACCAAGATTATCAATTCACACCAAAAACCACTTATTTTGTGATATATGATATAAACATCATTTATTACAAGACAATATCCATTAAAGTTACTTTATTTTGATTTTTTTTTTGTAGTTTAATAACTTTGAATCAAAATGTTCCACTAAAAGCACTCAAGTTTCTGAACTTTTTCTATGTCGACCAATATGATCTGAAATGAGTTATAATATTTTTTTTTTGTTAAAATCTAACATCTATAAAGAAATAGTAAACTTTGTCATGATGAATAAAATTATTTTACTAAAATCATTCAACTTTGACAAGTATCTATATTGTTACCTCGTCGCGTTAACCTCCTGTAAAATGTCATAGTGATTGACGTTAAGAAATTCTTAAACATGGATGATTTTGATAAAATGATCTTTTATAGTAATTATACTTCAATATTTATTTAAATATATCGATATTTCTGTTATAAGAACGTAGTATTAGTATTTTAAAAAATTACATAAATGTTCTTGTTGTTTTTTAGATTTACAAGTTGCATCCGTAACTTTTTTTGGTTACATAGATGTTCTATATGGTTTCAATTTCTTGTGTGGTTGGTCGTTTTGATTTTTCAGATTTACAAGCTACATCCCTAATCAATTTACCCTAACCTAGTTTACTTATGTTCATCTTCATCACCCTACCAATTGGTAAATTATCGAAATTCTCCATCTTCGACGACACCTTCTCCATCTCCCTCCCCTTCATTTCATACTCGCCATATATTGCCGTCAACCTATAGAGTTAAGCAAACATTCCCTCTAAATCTCACCATATTAAGCATAAGAAACCCTATTCAGACATTCTATTGACTCCGAAAGCTCTTTTTCTTTTTTCACAATAAACCTTATTAAAAACGCAGAAGAAACCAAATATTACCAATCACCACCAGTTTGACTTGATGATGTTATCCTATTTCACTTTATCCAATAATGATTCCCCCGTTAAGGAGCTTCAACAACCATAACTACCAAACGAGATCTTCCTTCTACGGTTCGTTCATGTGATAATTTGGTTTAGCATCTCAAACTTCAAGCTCTCTCTCTCTCTCTCTCTCTCTCTCTCTCTCTCTCTCTCTCTCTCTCTCTCTCTCTCTGCAAAATCCATGGTTTTCCCATGCCCGGTCTTCCTTCTACGATTCCTTCATGTGATAATTTGGTTTAGCATCTCCAAGTTCAAGGTCTCTCTCTCTCTCTCTCTCTCTCTCTCTCTCTCTCTCTCTCTCTCTCTCTCTCTCTCTCTTCTCTCTCTCTCTCTCTCTCTCTCTCTCTCTCCAAAATCCATGGTTTTTGAGTTCCTTGTCCATTTATCTCATTTCATTGAAGTCTGACAAATGAGGAATGAACTTGAGAAATGGGGTATGGGTACAATAGGTTAATGTTACCGATGGTAGGAGGATGGGTTTTTAAGGGTTTGTAATTAATGTTTATAAATTTTAATATTATATAAAAAGATAAAAATAAAAATGATAAAATAAGTTTTTACATGGATCAAAACCAACTACGTAAAAACCTAAAACCACATAAACCGCCTTTATAATATAAAAAAATTGTGGACAAATGTTGCAAATCTAAAAAGTCATATGGACCATTTACGTAATTTTATCTATTATATTTTACAAATTTTAATTAAAAAAGAAAAGTACTAAATTGGGACCATACGAAGAAAAACATAGAGTAGGGACGTGGATGATAGTTATCATCTCTATCCAATATCCGTCAGAGCTTATCCGCTTTACGAACGTGGATCTGTGTGTTTGGTCAAACCATCAAACAACCCAAATAAATATATTCAACAATTCTCAATATATTTCGTACATTTATTTATTTCCTTCTTTAATATTTTTGTTAATATATCACACATCTAAAACTTGAAACTGAACATACAAAAACTAAAACTTAATTCACCCTCTAGCCCTAATAAAAAGCCATTACGAATGCAATATCTCCAAAAAAATAATTCTCAATTCTACGGAATAATAAAATGAGAATATACATTCAGGATTAAGGAGAATAATAAATGTATCTGTCTTTTAAATAATATTTCAAAATTCATCAATAAAGGACATTGCAAAGGGCTTTAGCAACGTGAAAAGGGTCTTAATACATCTTTTTTTCTAATCTTTATCCAAAATTTTGTTCTAACAATATAAAGTTTCATTTTCTATAAAAGTAATTTTTTTAAAAATCTTTACCATTAGAAAAACCTTAAAAAAAAACTGTTTTGTTAATAAAAAAAATTATGATTCTCATAAAAATAAATTAGTTTACATTATTAGTTTTAAATTTCATAGTGAATCGTAGTACGATTAAAAATTTATTTTTTTTTTTCAAAAATATCATTTTAAAACCTAGATATTAAAAATACACATTCCCACATTGCAAAATTGATGGTCATATAGAGAATTTTTAAAATTTTAGCTTAACATTAAAAAAATAAAAATAAAAAAAATAAAAAAAAGACTCATTAATTTTAGCTATATTTTTTTTTCTAAATTAAAATAAAAAGCGGATAAAGATAATAATTTGGCTAAGTTAGATTCATCCATATCTTAATGATAAGCTCAGGCAAGTATAGCTAGACTTGGTAAGACACTAATGCTGTTCCCACATGCCAACGATTGCTTGCCACGTGTCCACGCTTTTTTTGCTCTTTATCAAATCCATATTTATATGCTCCCCAAGAATGGTTCCAACCCTATCTTTGATCTGTGTTTCACAAACACTCAATTTCTTTGTTTTTCATACCCCATAATTCCATTAACAAAAACCAACTTCCATTTTCATTCCTTCATCATCAAAATCTAATCGAAATGGGTGAAGGAAAAAATCAAAACTATAACAAAGATCATCATCTGAATCAAAAATGGGATGTAATGGAAGAAGAAGCAGACAAGTATAAACATGAACATAAACATCCATGTTCTTCAAATGAAGAAGCTTGTTCAACAATCTCAGATGGATCATCGTCGTCCATAACGTGTTGTTCTTCATCTTCTTCATCTGATACAACAGATGATGCGTCTTCTTCTTCCGCGAATTCCAGTAGATCTTCCTTGTATGATCTATCAGACCTAATGTCTCAGTTACCTATCAAGTAAGTTCTGTTATTTTACGTAATTTCCCCCCCAAATTTGATTGATTTTAGGTTACGATCTGTCATCTGTATACTGAAATGGTTGAATTTGCTGCAGACGAGGGCTATCGAAGTTTTATCATGGAAAATCAGACTCGTTTTCATCTCTTGCAAGGGTAACGAGCATTGAAGATCTTCCTAAGAAAGAACAAAAGATGAAGAAGAAGAAGATGAAGAAGAGCTACAGATCTCATACACTTCCTAAACCGATCATCTCAAAGAGAAAATCGAGAGGTTATTTGAAGAAAAAGTTTGGAAGTAGCTGCATGAAGAAGCAAATCGAAGAGTGATTGTGGCTTTTCCATGTTTGTTTTAGGCTAATCGATGTTTTTTCTGTAAATATAAGGCTTTTTGCTTCTTAATTACTTTAACAAAAAAGAGCAAATTAAAAAGTTAAATTCATTAGATTCAGAGAAAAAAAAAAGTTATTACACAAATTCAAGAGATAATGATGAATTGAATCATTGATCGAAGTTATTACACAAAACCAGCTGAGATTGATGTTTTCATGGCGATTTGATGGACCGATTTTGTAATCTGCTTGATCTTCTCATCGGAGATGGGGTAACCACGGTGGTCGGTTCTATTTTGCGCCTCTGTTTCTTGATGGTTTTCTCGTTATAAACAACAGAATCTCCGGTTGAGTTCTCGATGCGAGAGGCTTTTGTTTCGCCGGAAAAAATGGTGGATTGGATCAAAGAATTGCTTTCTCCGAACACAAACTCACCTAGCAACTCGACAGATGGTGCATGAATGTGACTATGTTCTTCAGAAATATCTTTCTCTAGAGATGCAGATTTCACCAATGGTGCTTCTTCTTCTTCATGAACCCCAATTTCTTGTTCAAGAACCCTAATTTCTTCCGTTTCAGCTTCGTGATTTGCTCCGGCGACAGTTGGTGTTACCGGAGGTGAGGATTTCATCCGTCTTGAATACACGACACCGAAAGATGATGCAAGAATTAACACAAAAAACCCGATTACACCTACAAGATTTAGATCAAAACTTTCCGATTGGATAGTTTCAGTTTCTATTTCTGCATCATTAATCTCCTCAGTTTCTTCTTCTGCAATTTCTTCGTTTTCATCGAAAATCTGTTGCTACCAACGTCTGATCA